GATAAAATAAATCAGGAACAACATCTAAATCCCAGCCTGCCTGGGAAACAAGGGCAGGAATTTCTAATTTAAAAAAACCACTTTTGGAAGACTCAGGAATTCCTTGGAAGTCAGGATTTTAAATCTGCTTCCTCTGCTCTGATTTGGTAGGGAAATGGGAACAGGTGAAGTTCCTCCTATCCAGGAATTATCTCAATTTAGTGGCAGTAATGATCCAGAGTAACTCAGGTTTCTCTTGTATTTGACATTAGAAACTCGGAGCACACGTTTTCTGTGGAGCTTTTCAGTGGAGTCAGGAAGTTTCAATGGAATAAAAGAGCCACAACTGTTGGAATTACAAAATTCAACTTGGCAAAAATCAGGAACTTTACTTACAAATCCATGGAGGAGGAGGAGGACACCAGAAACACACTCCAGCTCAAAGCAATGATTTATTGGAAATGGCAGTAAATCAGACTGACAGTCTCTGGTTATGGTCAAGCAATTATCCAGGAGTCAGAGAGAAAAGGGGGAATCTTGGACCGGGATAAGGCCTTCCAGTGGCTTTGCTTCCTAGTGGCTCTCTCCTTTTTTGCCAACTACCTGGAAGAGGGAAAAGAAAATAGGAATAATGTTTCACAGCTCCTGGGCAGGACTCTTTTGGTTCTGGTAAATCCCAGTGCAACTCAGTTCCAGTGAGGGAACCCAGGAGCGTTACGGGAGCACCTGCAGGGATGGGAATCCCTTCCCGGGGTTAGCAGGGATGGGAAACACACACAAACCCTTCTGTTTAGTGTTGAACACAGCAAGGCTATTTTGGGAGGAGTTAGGAGACGGGAACTGCCAGAGAACACTCCAAAATCCAGGTCACACGTCAAGCATTACACCTTAACACACTCCAGAAAACTCAAGTGGGAAAAAAAAACCCTGGATGCTCAGTTTGAGGCTGCTCCTTTCCTCGGCATCCTTTCCACGGGCTTCCCCCAAAATACTGACCTTATAATGCAGCTCAAACCCGTACAATAATCCAGGAATTCACAGATATTCCAAAAAAAGCCCAAACCCCCTCAGTCCTGAATCCATGGACCCACTGGAAGCATTTTTCCTGCTCCTTCCCCTTTTTAATTCCTTGTCAATCCGCAGCAGGGAGGAACTCTCTCCCACTTTCACCTCAAGGAATCCCTAATCAGGGGCATTTCCAACTAGTAATTCAATCTAATGCTCCAAGGCAGGAAAATTCCAACCTGGCAATGTGGGGGAAGAAGAACAAAATCAGATAGAGTCAATTAATCCAGTTAAAAAAATACAGTTAAACTTGTCACAGAGCAAAATTTATCCCTGCTGTGCTTCCAAACTGTGTCCACACACAGATTAGGCAAAGAAATCAGGAAAAGAGAAAGGAAAACCAGAGTTAAAAGATTAGGGATTAGGTGTTAGGAAGTATGGAATACCAAAGAAATGTTCGATACCAGTCGGAGGCAGAGAGGGACAAGTGGCCCATGTGAATTATCTGGAAAACCCAGCACATGGATATGGATATTTTGGCATCTCAGCTCAAACCCCACCCGTTTTCTGCCCATCCCAGCCCACAATCCCACAGGAAATGTTTATTAAACCCCCAGGTAGGTGGGTTTGATTCCCATTAAGATATTACAAAGGAGCCTTGGCAGAGCATCTCCACCAGCCCCACAAAATTAATCTGGGACAGGACTCGTTGGTGTGACCTTAAAATGGCAAGTTTGGGGTAAAAAGGGGGCAAGTGAAGTGTTTAAGGGCTGGTTTGGAGCAGGGAGAGGAGGGAGGGGCTGAGCTGGTGAGAGGGGAGTGCAGGAGGTGCTGGGGCTGTGGGGAGGGCAGGAGCTGAGCACAGGGAGGGAGGGAAGGAGTGCCAGGCCACACCGATCCCATCATTACTTTTTAATTTCTTCTGCCCTTTTAGTTCTTTGGGAATGGGGAGTTAAGCTGGAAAACAAACAGAAGGAGCGTTACAAGAACCAAAGCAGCAGCAAAAGGTGTAAAAATGTTCAGTGCAAACAGGCAGGTCTGAGGAGAACCAAGGAATTTACTCCAGAGGGGGCAAAATATATCCCCCACCCTGTCAGGATTTATCTGTGGCTCTTCCCACTACTCTCCAGGGGCTTAAACAGCAATTTTTTGCCTGGTGTCCCTCTTTTCCACCACTCTAAAGACTTCCCTCCTCCTCAAACTCCACATTTGGGAAGGAAAATAGGAATGTCATGGGTAGTGTTGATGAGGATCCGACTGGGACACATCAGCCATCCCTCATCCAGCCCTGCTCCTCTGTTTGTGAGCACTTCCTTCCCATCCTGGCCTGCCCAGCACAACTCCAGGAGGACTGTGGCCACACACATTGTCTCCTTTCAAACTTCAAAAGCCACAGAAACCAAAAAACATGAGAAGATCACAAAGATTCATAGTTTGGGGAGAAGGGGGAAGGTCTGCAATCTGAATTAAGTTAATTTTAGTCCATTAGAACAACTTTTTAATGACTTTGAGCTGCAGTGAAAGGCAGCAAAGCTTGTTAAACCTATTTATTAACTTATTACCTGCAAAGAAATTCAGTTTTATGTTAAGGTCAAATGTTGCTGTTATAAATTAAGTAGGTGCCAGGTTGGTGTTAGTGCTCTAACCTTCTGAAAGGTTATTTGTAACATCAGTTGTGGTGCTCTCAGTGTTACTGGTCACCTCCCCAGGAGTTTGCAGCAGCATTTCACAAAGGCTGCTAATTTTTAAAGCAGTTGATTTTAAAATAAGACTCTTTACATTAAAAGGTTCAAAAAAGGGAATCCCAAACCCAAGATACAAGTCTCAGCTGTTAAAAAATAACATTGCTGTCGGTGTTTAGAACTTGCCAGCCCCTCAAATTTTCACCTATACATTCTTACCACTGATTCTTACAAAGTTAGTGACCAAAACCTTGTAAAAAGTGGGTTTAGGAGCAGGACTCACTCGTTTGAAGTCGTTCATGTTTGTGGCTTGCACTGGAGTGCCAATAAATGTGAAATATGTGATTCGTGTTGTCTCCTCATCACCATGATTGGACTGGACAAACAACTGAACAGGAAAGAAAGCCAAAAAAAAAGGAGTTAAGCTCTCCATCTCTCACTTAATACATAAAGCATGAGGTGCTCGAGAAAATTACCCAGATTAACACTTTTGTCCCAACTATAAAGGTCTCTAACACTCAGAGGAGCTCCTGTCCCCCTAATTTAAATAATTACATATAGAATGCTGGTGCCTTCCTGGCAGCCTGTTAAAACCCCACCCAGCTGGGATTTTCCCAGCTTCCACTTCCCCCCCGAGGCCACAATGAGGAAGCCAGAGCAGACTGTGAGAAGCCCCAGCCCAGCCTTCCCTGGGATGCCCTTCACCATCAGTGATGTCTGTGCAGCCCCGAGTCACCCGGGGGGTTCCCCCTGAGGGTCCAGCACACTGAGGAGCCCCCAGGGCAGGGCAGGGCACTCACAGTGACACTGTTGACGTTCTGGAACTTGACATAGCGGAGCTGGATGATGCCATCCTCCCTGATGTCCTCGGGGCCCAGCTCCAGGGCCTGGGTGGGCTCGCTGCGCTCCGCCTCCTCGAAGTCCATCGAGCGCGGCAGGTTGATGAAGATCTTGATGTATTTGGGCCCTTGCCCTGGGTTAAAGGAGAGGGGTGGGATTCCATTTGGGTGTTACATCCCAAAATTACACCTAATTATGAATTTTACGTGATTTCATGATGTAAACTGAGCTACTATAAAAAAGGATCGTCTCTCAGTTGCTCTCACCTTAATCCTCGGATTAAATCCAAGAGTCTCTCTGCAGTGCATCAAACATTAATACTTTTGTTTGTGTATCAAACATTAAGAAACACTTCCATTTCTGTATATAACCATAGTAATTATACTTGCATATAGAAGTATAACAATTCCTTATATTTGCACCCCACCCAACACCCAGACCCTCCACTCACCGTTGTCTGGCCCCTGAAGTTTCATAGAGTAAAGCTTGACAGGCTGACTGAAAGCTACAGTGATGAGCAGCTGTGGAGGGAGACAGAACAAAAACTCCAGCATTAAACACTGTTTTCTTCACTTAAAAACCCACTTAGCACACAAAACAGGGATAAGGGAGCTTTGGAGTGAAACTCTGTGGTCACTTCCCTCTACATTTTGGCCCTTTAAATATCAGCGAACGCTTTTCCGACTGGAATTTTTTCGCTTTGTATCCTGATTTTTCTGCTGCAATCCTAGGACGACCCTGGCCCCCCTGCCTGCCTGTGGCTGCCCCCCGTGCCAGACCTGCTCGTCGCAGTCGGACTCCAGGTAGGAGGGGTCCTTGCGCAGGCAGTTCTCGAAGCCGTGCTCGTCGCTCTCGTTGAGACACTCGCACCCGGCCTTGTTGATGAAGGGCAGCAGATCCATCTGGGAACAGGTCATAAACTATTTTTTATTTGATGTATTTTATACCCTTGTCACCTTTGTTGTTCTTTGAAACCTAAAGTGAACACTTTTACTGCCCTTTGGCAAACGTTAGAAAAATAAAATATGAGACGCTTTTACACTTTTTAAAAAAAATGTTTGGAGGGAGGCAGGTTGGGATGGGTGAGAAAAGCAGGGAAAACTTTATGATAAACAGTAAATTAATCATTTTAATGACTAAGGAGATTTTTCACGCTTATTAAACGTGTGCCTGCCAATATTTAATTTTTTTCTGGAAAAGGAAGCCCAGATAAGTGATTTTCTGAGACAGCTTTGCCTAAAATCCTATTATTTGACTTGGAGTGTGTTTAAAAAGGGAAGATTTTTTTGGTATCCAGGCATTCCACCAAAAGCCCTGTGAGATACACACGTATCCTTTGGGGATGTCTGTGTCCTCGCTGTTCCCAGGGTCGTTCTCCAGGTGCTGTTTGATTTTGTCCTCCAAGCCCACGGCATCTGCTCCCTGGTATTGGTCGATCCGCACCTTGTTCCGGAAGAACAGGAACGTGGGGGTTGCTGAGATGTTGTTGGTGGCAGCTGTGCCCTGGGAGGCAGAAACCAGTCCCCATTCATTGTCTGAATGACCCTCAAGTCAGTCACCACTGGTCCCACTCATAATATTGATCTGTGGCATTTTTGCTTTTTCCCCCTCAATAATTACACCAATATTCGGCTGGAAAGGCTCCTTTTAAGTCCCACTGGTGCTAGATCCTATTTCTAAAGTATTATCTTAATAATACAGGCAGCAGGAACTGATAACCTCTCTGTACACTGCTTAAATGAAGGGCAGCACTGCAAGAAAACTTTGCTAAGCAGGGGGTTTGTTCTCCTGACTTGGGAGAATTTCACATTATGGTTATTTGTGATGCCCCAAACATGGCAACAGCCAAAGGACAGCCCTCTTAGCATCCAGCTTGAAGGGTTTGCCTTCAGATTCCCCAGTCTCTTGCTCTTTATCTTCCAACTGAAAGTGGTTTTTTTTCATACCAACCTGGCACTGATGCACATCCACCTCCAAGAACGTTGCCTGGGGGTATTTGTTACTCAGGGCATTGAAGGCTGGAGCTATCCTTAAGCAAGGGCCACATCTGTGAAAACAACACTTGCACTTAATTCCACTTTCATTTTCTTTTTCAGTGCCTGCCCCAAACGGAATCAGCACATTCCTGCTCTTCCTGGTGCAAAAATAACCTCCCTACCTGGCTGCCAGCTGCTGATACAATTAAGGATGAGGAGTTAATTCCCAGCTTCCATGTCACGTGAGGGGCTTCACCTATTCATTAATACTCACTCATATCTGCAACTTAACTGCAGCATTTTTAACTGCTCAGTGAAGTGACATGAAGGAGGGCAAAAGCAGAAAAACCCACTTTTAACAGAAAAATCGTATCATTACTCCCCATCACATCCCATGGAAAAACAGCATTTACATAGGACTTAAATATTTAATGGTGATAATGTATCAAAGCTTCAGGGATCATAAAATTCTTACAACAATAAATCTCATTTATCCCCACATTAATTTACGGGAATAACTGGTGACATTGTTATTAACATGGCCCTGCTTTCTGCTGATTTAACTCCATCACCTCGGCTGAAAATATGTCATTTGTAATTATTCCGTGCCAGCAAAAGTGTGGTAAATGTCCAGCTGCAATTATTCCTGCAAAGGGATATTCTCACTGGGAAAAAAGAAATTAAAATCACCCCCCCCCCAAAAAAAGTAGAAAATTAGCTAAAAAAAACCAGAATTCAGCAGCAGCAACTGGACAATACCGAGGTGCGCCCTGAAGCCCCAAACCCCCCGAGATCATCACCATTCACAGATTAACGTGAATAATTCAGGTTTCTTGGGTCACGAATTCACCCAGATCCCGCCGAGGAGGGGAGGAATCTCCCCCTTTCCCGGGCCAACAGCGCGGGGATACAGCGAACTTTGGGAGGGCAGAGGATGTTTGGAGAAGTTTGGGATGTTTCATTGCTCACAGCAGCTCCCCGGCCCGGGACGGGGTTTAAAGCAGCGCCCGATCCCCTCCCGGACCCGCGGGCTCGGCGGGAAAAGGGGGTTTAATGCAGGAATAGGAACCGCGGCGCTGCCGCTGTGCCCACACCCGTGTGTCACACAGGGCCGGGTACCGGCAATAAATAACACCAACACGGGCTCTGCGGAGCGCGGCGGGAGCGCGGGGCCGCCCCCACTCACCCCCTCATGGTGAACTTCACCACGGCCAGGCGGGAGCCGGCGGCGCTCAGCTCGGGCTGGAACTCGGTGTCGTTCGCGATCACCTTCACGCCCGCCATAGCGGCCCCGGCGGCGGTGCGGCCCCGGCGGCGACACCGGGTGCGATGTGCAGCGTCACGGCGGGCAGGGCGCCCGGCATGCACCGCTGGCGCTGGGCTGGCACGGACACGGGCGCAGGCGCGGCCGCTCCGCCCGCCCGCCGCCCGCCATCGCCATCTTGGGGCGGGCCGGGGCGGCAGCGCCGCCATTTTCGGGCAGGGCAGAGAGATGCGGAAGACGCCATTGTCCGCCATGTTGGGTAGGGGCGGTGCCGCCATCTTGGGGCAGGGAAGAGAGGGGCGGAAGACGCCATTGTCCGCCATGTTGGGTTGGGGCGGCAGCGCCGCCATTTTCCGGCAGGGCAGAGAGGGGCGGGCGATACCGCCGCCGCCATTCCCCGCTCCCTGGGAGCGCTGAGGGGGGCCCGGCGGTTCCCATGATGGCCCGGCGGTTCCCATGGTGGCTCGGCGGCTGCGCTTCGCGGCGATGCGTCCCGGACAAGGATCAGGGAGCCGGTGAGAGGGGGATAGCGGGCAGAGAGGGGCGGAAGACGCCATTGTCCGCCATGTTGGGTAGGGGCGGTGCCGCCATCTTGGGGCAGGGCAGAGAGGGGCGGAAGACGCCATTGTCCGCCATGTTGGGTAGGGGCGGTGCCGCCATCTTGGGGCAGGGCAGAGAGGGCGGGCGATGCCGCCGCCGCCATTCCCCGCTCCCTGGGAACGCTGAGGGCGGCCCGGCGGTTCCCATGGTGACCCGGCGGTTCCCATGGTGACCCGGCGGCTGCGTTTTCCGGCGATGCGTCCCGGACAAGGATCAGGGAGCCGGTGAGAGCGGGACAGCGGGATGGAACGAGGCGGGCACAGCGGGAGCGGCCGGGCGAGCCCCCGGCGGGGATGCTGCGGGGTCCGCCGCGGGCCGGGGGATCTGCGGGACCGGGCGGTGCCGGGACACGGGGATACCGGGAATATATATATATATGGAATATATATATATATATATGGAATATATGTATATATATATGGAATATATGTATATATATGGAATTTTCATATATATGGAATATATATATATGGAATTTATATATATATGGAATATCTATATATATGGAAAATATATATATTATATATATGGAATATCTATATATTGAATATATAGATATATGGAATATATATATTATATATATGGAATATCTATATATATGGAATATAAAAATATATCTATACTGCTTGGGATAACTGTCCTTCCTGACAGTTTGAAACAGGAAAAGCCTTTGTGGGTTTGATGTGTCATCACGTGAAGCACCAGGAAAACCTGGGAGCAGCTTCCAAGGGGTCAATTAACTGCAGTTTGGAGTCCCAGATTATTATTATCTCGTCCTCTGCCTTGCTTTGGAACCTCCTGCATATCCAGGGAAGTGTTTTAATTGTCTTCCCCCCATTAGTCCTTTTTCTCTGTGCCCGAGTGGTAAATAGAAAGTATAATTTCTAATTAAATTTAGAATAATTAGATTTTTATAAAATGCATAAAGAGCCCATTCATAGCTGGTTTATACTACTTAATGCTATTTTGCAGTATTTTGGGGGCAGATTATTTTTGTGTACACCAGTATCCTGATGTTAATTCCTTATTTAATGGCAATAAAAGTGTTTGGGAAGAGCAGCTGGAGTGTGGCAAGTTGTGCCAAGCAGGTTTGGTGCCACGAGAGCAGCTTCCAAAGCCCTTGAGTGTTGGAGAAATGTCCAGGGGAACCGGTTCCCTTTTTGCAGGGAGGCAGTTTGCAAGGACAGAGGGGTTGCTGTGCTCTCCAGCAAAAATAGTCCCCTTGGGATGTGCAGGGTGAGGAAATGTTGGCCACGTGTGGGCTGGAGAAAAGGTGTGTGGGTGCGTGTGTGTGCAGGAAGGGGGTTCTGGTGCCACTTGAGCTGCCAGGGAGCCCAAAAGGGCACAGTTGTGTGAAAAAGGCCAAAGCTCTGTTGGCCTCTGTTGACACCTGCCCCAAAGGAGATGCAAATTTCCCCCCCTTGTCTGCAGGTTTCACAAAGCTCCCAGGAAAGGAAGTTTTAGATTCCAACTCACCTTTATGATAAAGGTTTCCTTGCTCTCTCAGCAGGATGTCGAGTGCCACCGTGTCCCTGAGGTCACCCTTTCTCCTGCTGGGAGAGCACGAGGTGGATGGAAAGGATCCCCAGGCATCTGCAGGCACGAGGGACTTGTTCAACTGGGATTTTCCTCCAGCCTATGGTAAGATGGACTTTCAGGGTCCCACGGGTCAAGGGCCAGCTCTCCTGCTGGAGTTCTTGTGTGCTGGATTGGAACACAAAGAGCAAACCTAAAGTCAGGTCTGTTCTGGAGCGTGTTCCACTTGTGCAAAGCTCCTCAGATCCCCGGAGCAGTCTGGGACACTGGCAAGATCCCCCTGCCTTTATAAATGAGGCCTTCTTGTGGCTTCCTACCCGGACACGTTGGTGGGTTCCAAAGAAGGACTCTGGAAATCCCTTTTGGGAGCAAATTGGGCCCCCCTGGAGGGACAGTGCTGTTGGTGCCCCCCGGGCTGGGGCACCCCGAGGACTCCAGCGCGCACCGAAAGGATTATTCGGGGAGATCATCTGGGTGCCCGGCCCTGGGGAGCTCAAAGCAGGGTCCCTGGAATGGCTTCAGGCATTCCTGAGAGTATCCCAGGTGTACCTGTCCCTGCTAGATGTGGAGCTCTCTAATGGACTGTAATTGGGTTATAAAAGTGGTGCTCCAACTGCAAAAGAAGTGTGGGATTGGGATTGAGAAATGAGCAGTGATGGTACAATTGGCTGTTTTCTCTGGAATATAACTGTAAGAGCTCCAGGAGTGCCAGGTGTGTGTTCCAGTCCCCAGCATTTGGTTTGCACGTGTCCTGGTCAGACACAGGTCCGACTTCCTCAGTCCTTAACACAACAGAAGGAGAATTGAGGACTGGCACTGTTAAGGGGATTGGTGTGCCAGGGGTCAAACTGGGAAAATATTGGGTAATTCCCGAGTTTGTCTGTTTGCCAAACTCACCCAAACCTGTGCTAGGAAGAGATGGACTGGAAAAGTTGAGGCAGAAATGAAATTGAAAACTGGGGCTATTGACACTGTAATTGCTGAAAGTAAATGTGTCCAAGCAGCAGCTCTTGTTGTGCAGGGAATAGCTCCTGTCAGCAGCAGGGTCCCGACTGACGTGGCAGCTGCAGTTGTTCCTGTGGTGTGGGCCAGTGGAATTCCAGGAGAGTGGAAGAGGGCGGAACCTGTAGGTATTACCCCTAATGTGGGATCTGTCTGGATTCTCTCTGGAATGTGGTCCATGTGTAACAGTTTCCCATGGCTGTCTGTGCAGGTGGAGCAGTGCCCCAGTGTCCCGTGGGATCCCCGAGGTTGGAAAAGCCCTCTGAGCCCCCGGGGTGCAAGTGCTCCCCCAGCCCTGCCCAGGCCAGCCCAGCCCGTGTCCCCAAGGGCCACAGGAGCAGCATCCCCTGGGGTGAGGGCTGTGGGCACTGCCAGTGTCCTTGCTCCTGGAGCGGGGCTGGGGGTTCCCAGGGAGGCTCCAACAGCCCTTCCCTTGTCCCCGGCCTTGCCAGGAAGGATGGCTGGTGTGAGAGCACAGTGTGCAGGGCCAGCAGCCCAAAGCCGCCCTGGGGACATTTTCCTGCAGTTCAGGGAACCTCTGCTTGCAGCACCTCCAAGTCCTGCGTGCTCAGCACCTCTTCCTGGGGGTTTGGATGCCCTTGGAAAGAGATTTTGGGATATGCCAGTGAATCCAGTGAGTTGTGCCAGCCAGAGAGCTTTTGGCTGCCCTAAATGTAGCTTTTAAACCTCAGCCCCCTGGGGTTTGCAGTGTTTGACCAGGACAGAGTGAGCCAGGATGGGCCAGCCCTGTCCGTTGTGAGTTCTCCTCTCTCAGAGGAGGAACCCCCACTGTGCTGTCCCTCGTAGGGCTGAGCGAGGCTGTGGATTGCACTGCAGAGCATCTGCAGGCTCCTGCTGCTTGGGGCTGTGGTGTTTGGGGTGCAGGAAACACCCCTGACTGTCTGACCCGGGGCTGGATGTGCCTTTGCAGGAGTAACTCGGGCTGGGGATCCCACCCCCCAACGCTGCTGACGGAGACCCGGGGCCAGCAAGTCCCTGCAGCTCCAGGGAGAGAAGAAATGAGTTCAGAAGGAAGAACAGGTAACACTCCTTGACTGAAGGAATCCTTTTCTGCCCAGAGCTGTCACTGGGAGGGGAAAAACCTTTGCCTGCATGTGAACTGAGCTGTCAAAGAGCCCAGAGAGGTTTGGTTTCCCAGTGGAAGGCAAACCTGGGGGTCAGTCCTTGTCTGGTGGCAGCTCTGCTCTGTGCAGCTGCAGCACCAGCTCGGCCATGAGATGTCTGCCCTGAACAGCCATGAAATGCAGCCCGAGACAAACCTTCCCAAGCTGGAAAGAAAAGTCCCAGAGGGTGGTGGCAAGGGCTTTCTGCCAGGCGTGGGCACTGCTGAGGCTGGAATGATTTCAGTGTGTTTGTTGTCACTCTGCTTGCCCAGAGCAGAGTCGGTGTTCCCTGGATTGGATGTGGAGGGTGGAGGTGTCTGTTGGAGAGGAGAGAAATGTCCCTGCTGGGTGGTGTGTCCTCGGTGGGCAGAGAACTCTGACCTTGGCCTCGTGGGTCTGTGGCTATGGACTCCATGCAGGGGTGGCAGTGGCTCAGGGCAGAGGGAGCAGGGGCTGACAGTGGCACTGGATGTTTGTATCCGATGTGTTGGATTGGGTTTGGTTAGTACACAAATATTATTTTTTTTTTAAGTAAAGGAAAATGTTGCTGAGACAGGTGTAGAAGTGGATACTCCCAGCTGGGAGGAGTCCCCTTATGGTATTTTGGCCCCTGAGTGGTCGTGTCATGCTTGATGTGAGGACTGGACTCCTGTTTGAAGGAGGCAGAAGCCCTTGATGTAGTGCAACGTTTCCAAAAGGCTTCAGGAGAGAAAGGAAAGGAGGTGTGTCCTCCTTGCAGCCCTTCCCAGCCC